CTTGTGACCTCTATTCACAAACCACTGGACTATCTGTTGATCACTTTTCTCCTTTGTAAAAATCTAAATTAAAGCGTAAGACCGTTATCTAAAGGGTTAGAATGAAGAAGTTAACCTCTTACTCTCGTTGAATTGAAGAGGACCAAAACATTTTCCTAAGCTAGAAACATGGGTTTTTATTAGCTATAAATCATAATTCAAATTATGAGAAATAGTTGTCAGAAATTTTAAACAAATTATGTCATTAATAAACGAGTTTGCATTTTTGATGTTCTGATTCACTGAGATTCGCCCGGGTTTTGAAAGCCTGTCAGGATTTGATTATTGGTGGAAAACCTTTACACTACTTACCATGTATGACTTTAATGTTGGTAAAAGTTGTGTCATCAGCGCTCCACATACCACCAATCTCCACGCCACACATGTACCAGCCAGATCCCTCCTCCTTCATGTCCTTCATGGTCACGGTGAACACCAGCTGAACTGGGTCATCAAAAATGCTCACTTTATTGTCAGCTGGATTTACCAGGTGGTGGTCATCGGTCCGAGCCAGCGTGGTACAGAACTCCTTGGTCCTCCCCTGGCACCAGTACTTTACATAGCTGGCAAACTGGGGCTCATAGTGGCAAGGGATTGTAAGAGTGTCGCCCTCTAGGACTGTGAACTCTTGCTCAGTGGTAACCTTAGATAGGAATGCTGACAGGAAGCGGAGATAATGCATGTGGGAAATTAGTTTAATCTTCACAAACGCTCCAACGGGAACAGAAGTTATCTAAAGAACATGTTTTTTATCCAAGTGACCTTCACTGTGTTTGTTGTTGCAGTTTTCTTTGTGTCATGGGAGAGTTTGTTCAGTTTATTCGTTTATTTTTAACGTCCTTTTACTTATTATTGTGAAAGCATATTTTCCTCCCTATATTTCACAAGACTTTAAAAACCTGGCAAAATGAACCTCAAACATACCATTGCCTGCAGGCAAACAGTATAAGAAATTACAAGACGTAGAAAAACACTAAATCTCTAGGTACTTCTCGCAAAAAAAAGAGCAGCTATAAGAACTTTCAAGTCAGAGCCCAACAAATGATTAATGAAGGAGCTGAATGAAATGATATTGAGAAGTGAAGCAAAAAGAGTATGTTATGACTAAGCAGTATCTGGTAAGCACATAATAATAAAGTGGAGACGAAACAGCAGAGGCATTAATCATCCTTTGTGTTAAACTTCATCAACAGCTGCAAATGTGTTTCCCTGCAGTTTCTGACCTCAGTACTCATACCTGGAATCCATGGTAACAGGAGGAGGGTGACCATGTAGAGCGGTAGCATGTTTTGACTTCCCTTTAGGAGTTCTTAAAGATGATTCACTTCCCAGTGTAAACTGCTAGGACTCTGGGTTCCGTGGTGTCGATTTTCTCTTGGTCACGTGACCAAAAGCTGGACCCAGATGTTCCAGATGTTAACCATATAAATGCCAGGTACACAGAAGGAAAATTGGAATTGGGGCAAAGGGACGGTAGTTGCGAAAATAGGGGAACACAACTGCATAATAAAGTCACAGAAGTAACTTCACAAGAAAGCCACTGGTGCTTGCTTGTATCTTGGAATTTCCTACATATTTTATTTTGAAAAGATAGACCCAACCTTAAATCAAGACAGACAGTTAAATCTTCTTTGCAGTCTTACATTTTCGTCATGCAAGTGAGGATTAATAGGTATGTGTTTCATAAAGTTTACTACAAACCAGAATCTCATATATACTGTATAAAAACATAGAAACTAGATTTTCCTCTGTACATTACACTAAATGTGTCCTAGTATTTACCCATAAGGATTACAAACATTGGTAAATTATTTCTTATGGAGATTTTCTTACTTTATACAAATCAATCTAACTTAAACTTCTTAGTATGTAGTAGTGTTGGCTTTGACTTGGCAGAGGTATCCAGAGTATCCAGAGCAACCTGCCTGAAGCTTCTCACTGAAATATTGGCATATTTCTCCTGAAAGAACTGGTGTGACCGAGCCAGGTTCATCGGCTGCCTTGCTCATAATAAAAAATGTTGGCCCTGCCAACTTCTTTATGATGGCTACTTTAAAACATTGATTTTGTTGACCTTATGCTACTTGATAGTACCCTGTGATATGGAAGGCTGCAGCTTTTCACTACATGGTTGATAGGCTATTTGGAGATAAGGCTGTTCTTTTTTATATTTTAAAGCACACCAGTTGCCCCTGCAGCAACACACAAAATGCTGCTGCAATCCCTTCCATTAACCATCCAAATGTAATGTTTGTTATTTATGCCAAACACTGATTTTAATTCAAATTACCTGACATGTTGAAAAATAATCAATCCTTGAATACATTATGTCAGCCTGTCACAAAGTTGGGGTGAGGTGAAGGGCTACAGTGCTGTGTACTGTAGCTATTGTTTCTATATTAAAAAATTCAGTTTGAACTTAAATAATGGATCAGGGCCAAGTCTTGGTCTCAAGGGTTTACAGCACTATCGACTCGAGTCTGTAGGAGACTGTGTTTTTATATCACGGTGCCCAACAATATAGGTTTAAAAGCCAAGTAAATAACTGGCTACATTCCACTTTCTGCAGATTGAGGAATAAATCAATAAGAGCTGACAGTGAGTCTTGGGGTTATTTGAATTAACTGGTTTTGAACAAAGTTTAGTAAATGAAAGGCAAATTTAAAAGTATCTGCTTTTAACCTCACATTTCTACAAATCCATCTATGAAGATTAGATGATGGAATAAAGGTAAATAAAAAAATCTGAAATAGTTCTAGATTTTCACTGATTTAACTAAGTGAAAATCTTGTATGTTAGAAATGTATCAGACATAGCGAGGAATAGTTCAACCCTTTTCTCACTTACAATATTGAGGATTATGCTTTATAGAAAATGATATAAATTGGAATAAGATAAATAACTAAATAAATTGTTTATACAGCAATGTTAGGCTTCTTTTTACACATTTAATACTTTGTTGGCATTCCTTTTGCTCGAATAACTCCATCAGTGTGGCCAGATACGGAGGTCATTAGTCTGCAAATTTGATGGAAGCCAAGCTTATTTAAATGATGTCCAGATCACCTGAACTGTTGGGTCTAGAAAGTTCTAGAAAGTAAAGGTCTAGAAAGTAAAGGATTTTAGGTCAGTCTGCCTGCCTGCCTAACCAGTACAGGAACACAATGGTCACTGATCTGCTTTTGGTGCATCTGGTAATGTGGGCATGTACCAAATCTGGAAAATTAAATTAGCATCTCTATAAAGATTACCAGCAGAAGCAAGGAAGAAGTACTCCAAATGCCCTGGTATATGGTGTTAACTATGGACTTAAAACAGATAAGATCAAAATCAGCAGACAACATGGCATCCAAAACCATAACGGATTGGAAAGTTCACACTTGACTTCGAGGGATGTGGCTTCCATGCCTTTCCACTCTTCCCCCGGACTCTGGGACCTTGTTTTCTCAATTCAATGTCCACTTTATCTAAAAAAAAGGGCTTCAGACCACTGTTCAATACTCCCGTGTCTGGTTCAGGTGTAGCCTGACACAATGAATTTTACATTTGTAGTCCAGGTTTAGGGTTAGTCTATGCACAGACGCTCTTGATACACTGACTCCAGCCACATACCAGTCCTAAAATTCCCCATAAAGTTAGTTTTCATTTAACAATACCCTCAAAGCTTTGGTTATCCCTTTTTCTGATGTTCTGTCTAATCAAACGTTTTCCTTCCACTTAACTTTCTACAAATATATGCTTGGGTGAAGCGCACCTGTGAGCAAAAAGTTCCTTTAGAAATTAAATGACTTTGTGAAGTGTCAACATTTTCCAATCTTAACTGACTTTTACTATTCATTGTTTTTTCAGTTATTTTTGATTTTTTTATTTTTACTTCTTTTAACCCTTTATCCTGCAGCTGCATGTAACTTATTGCAGCTATGCAACAAATATTTATTGGTTATTTGTCGCTTCTGCTGCAAAATATTTTTTTGTGTTCTTGCCATGTATTAATCTGCTTTAACCTTTATAGGTTGTTTTTTTCCCTCATCTGGCCAAAGATTAAAACCGAAAACTAGCCTTTTGGCTAACTGGCATATTTTACAGTTGTACTATGTTAAAATACATTGTCCTTCTAACATAACAGACTACTCAGCAGTTTATAACGATAGTTTGACCAGCCCCATGAGCCCCGCTGATATCATTTAGAGCACGGCTCCTCAATTCCAGCCCTCAAGCCTCAGTGTCCACCTTGAAAATGTGTATCTGCTTCCACACACCGGAACCTACCCATTAGTAAGCAACTATGGCTGCAACTAAAAATTATTTCGCAAATCGCTTAATCTGTCAATTTCTTTTTGATTAATTGATTAATAATCGGATACTCAAAGGTTCTTTAAAGTTTTTTTACTAAATTAAGCCAGGTGAAACTCAAATTTTTCCACGAGTTCTGGATAGAGCATATTGAAAAGATAATTTTTTTTTTTTCAATCTTAAATGCAAAATGTTTTATTTTTTTTACAATCTTGGTATAATTACCTCTCTAAGTGGGTCTCTGTAAGCTAAAAGCTTGTTTTACAGTCTCTATACTCCAGTTAATGATTACTAAATTAGTTGACGAGTATTTCAATAATCAATTAATCACAATTATTCCGATTGTTTCAGCCCTATATGCAAACAAGTTTTCCTATGTCTTGCTACGGAACTGAATATTTGACTCATATTTGACTTTGATTAGGGGGACACACCATGAATCTCCAGCATTTAACTTTTTCACAATTTCATATAATATTGTGCATGTCAAATGACATGCAATATAATTTCTTTATATCCTTAGCTGTGTAACACATCCACTACATTGTTAAACAAGAAACACCAACCAGCAGGATGTTCTCTCACCACTAACCTTTTCTCTCATATAGGTAGCCAATTAATTCCAGTTAAATCCATTATTCTGACAGGAAGACATTTGAATTAAAGCAAAGCCACCATTACACTTCTTTTTTATTTCCGTCAGTGCAAAAGGGAATGTTTTACAAAGGTCAACATAACTAATGAATTATTTCAGTAAGAAAACTGTACTGCATCAAATGTAAGACATTGCATCTCATTGAGTGTTGATGCTGGATGTCGTCTGTCCAGATAAGCTGCTGTAAAACGGAGGAGATCTGATGACTTGTTTTGTGATCTGAGGGCAGAAAAGAGAGAAAGAAAATAACGTTTATTAACCAGGAGACAAAAACAATGGTCTGACTTATTTTGCTGTTGGCAAGTTCAAAATACAATGTCACTTTTTTTCCTCCTAAGTAAAAACAGTATGTGGAACTCTACCAGTTTCTATGACAGTGGAATGATAAATTGGCAATGCTCGTTAAAATGAAACAGGCCTAAAGGGTAAGACTTGGTGTCTGCTTTTCTGTCCTATAGAAAATAACAAATACACCAACGTTCCAGATTTAGGACGCACAACGTTTCTCTAAGTTCTAAGTTTTTAAAGTACATCTGGAGAGTATTACAGCACTGCACTTTTGGCACATCGAGTTATTTTACAGTTTCATTATAAATGTAATTAATCTCTTCACTCAAATTGTACATACAATATATTATTATGAGAATGCAGGAAAGGTGTTTTGTGGCTGTTTCCTTACCAATATAGAACTAAGAAATAACATTTAATAAAGTATTTATAGCCTTTAGATTGAAGCTTGAAACTGAGTTAAGTTCCTTTCTGTTTCTCAATCATCTTTATGATGCATCTAAAATGTAAACATAGTTCATCTGTGGTGAATTCAGTTGACTGGACACGATTAGGAAAATAGATTTCTGTGCAGATTGGTTCCCCAAGTCGACAGTGCATGTCAGAGTGCAAACACTAAGCATTAAATCAAAGAATTTGGGACTCCAGACAGGATTCTTTCTTGTTAAATACCATTGATTCCTTAAAGCATGGCGATGACGGCATCATGCTATGGAGATGTTTGTCAGCAGCAGGAGCTTCCAGGAAATGAAGCAATTTATAAGACATCCTGGATGAAAACCTACTCAGAACCACTCTGTAAATGGCAAAGCCAGATATATGGAACATGTACACAGATTTGTCCAATCAAATCTGATGGAGTTTGAGATGTACTGCAAAGAAAAACAAGCAAATCCACTGAAAGAAAGGTGTATTAGGGTTTGGCAGCATATTAAAAAAGACTTAAGGTCGTTCCCGATGTAGAAATTTGTTTGCTATTCTTAAACTTTTAGCAATCTCAAAAAATTTTTTTTTCACATTCCCTGTTGTTTGATTTGTACAAAACTGATTATTAAATTGGAAAAAGGCTTTAAGATAACTAAATGTGAAAAAAATGTGAAGCATTGAGGATAATTTCTGGATGCACCGTAAGGTGATGAGACACCAAGCATACGCTTATAATTATAAAGCTAAAATATGTGTTGGAGACTCTGATAAATCAAAAGTCCTAAAGGAAAACAGCTTTGATAACTGTTGAGGTTAATGAATGGGTAAAATAAAGACCTTCGTGAAGGGGTGATGTGTATCTGATTCCGATTTATTTCAGCCAATGAAGTTCATCACAACGAGATGCAAGACGGTGTGAGCGAACAGGAAGTCAGCGAAGGCCCTCTCAGGAGAAATGGACAAGAAGTCCCCTTTGTTCTGAGGGTTGATCTGGATACGAAGACACACTGGAGAAAAAAAACAAAAAAAATGTGAACAAAAAAAATACCAAGAAATGCTGATTCATTTTCACTTCATTATACTAAATGCAGACAATTTTACTTTTTACATTTTAATTAATTTTTGGGGGGGGATTTTATTGATTTATTACAAATTGGCACATTCTGCAGATTTTTCTTTGAACTGTTCAAACTTATTTTACCTGTAAAAAAAAAGAAGTGAAAAGAGAAATGCAAGTTAAGAAAAAAATGAAATGCCTTTCTAAAAAGAAAAATCCACATTTTACAACACAATTACACATTTACATGAAAGGAAGCTTCTGCAGCAAAAAGAAGTTCTAATATCAACATCTGAAAAGCTCAGCCTTTTCCTTGAATTAACAGCATGGAAGTGCCAGCTGTCACTGCAGTGAAAAGGTTAAGGAAAACTGTGCATAAAGTGTCACGTTCAGGTTAACTTGTGCACTTTAAAAGGAGAATTTTTTTTTATAAATATCAATAACAAAAAACAACGTAACCCAGAGCTAAATAGAACCCCTATAGTGCACCTTAGCTATCTTTACTTCTTACAGCTCATACTAACAAAAAAGTACAAACAAATTCAGAGAACAGAATCAAACTCTCCTCTGACTGCATTGTAGGATGGAGATGCACTTCTGATAGATCTGTTGTGAAACCTGCTCTTAACAGATATTTTCATTTAGCAGTGATAGCACTCTGTTTATTGCAAGTTTCATAACTTGGAAAAAAAACAGTTTCCATCCGACTAAAACACGATTGGGAAATCTAATTTTTTCCAGCTGCCTTGTCTTCTTAAAGATACAGTCCACTACATCATAAACTGCAGCTAGTAATAGTAGGTTCTCTTTTTATTCTCCATCTTAAGTGAGTTTGGCTTTGTGACAAGTGAAGCTCTTCATTTGCAGATTCAGGACAAAATATTATATTAATAGGCCAGGATATGATGCTATAGGCTTTTTCTATGAAATCAGTTCATTCAGCAACTTGCATTAAATATCCCAAATTATGCAATATGCATTTTACCATTTTTTAACCATAAAAAATTTTGTAAAAATTAAAAAAGACAAAATGTCTTATTTTGTTTTGTATATTTTTTATTTCAAAATTTCTACCAAGGTTACTATTTTTTGAAGTAGACAAAATCAATTGCCTAATATCCCCATAGAGTGAGCTAACATCTATCAATCAAGTGGCTCTCGCAGCCAACGGACAACAACATACAGCCAGGGTTGAATGCTTACCAGAAGTCTAAAGCATTGCTTTAATGATTTGACTAAAGCCGCCGCCTTGTGTCAGTAATTTTTATAAAAGTCACAGTGTCAGAAAGTAAGGCTGGGGAGAAGAGAAGTTGCATTGTCCAGATGTGTTGTGAGAGAAGCTGCTTGTATTCAAACAAGCTGCCAAACAAGCATACAAAGCGAGCGATATAGAACTGGTAGCAATAAGTCAAATATGCAAAACTACTGTATACTTTAAAAGACACATTACTGAGAAACTTTTAACCTCCATTCATAACTAAAAACTGGCTGCATATTTCTTACATTATTTCAAAACCACTTGCTGCATGTATTGAATTTATCACTAGTGATGCACCGGTCAGATATTAATGTCGAATATCGGTCCAATATAAGACAAAAAACAGCTTATAACAGATTTTATCAGATGGCAACTAAAATCTCAAATATTTTCATGCTGATAGAAACACTGCTTCTGTTAAAGGTATTTGTAAGTCCTTAGTTTTGCATGGGTCAGTTGTTGTCATATGTTTTGTTGCTGACGTTTGTTCCCTGTTTTAATAATATTGCTTGATCAAGCCATTTGTAACATTCTACAGCATAATTAGGCTTTTGTTTGTGCCACTCTATAAGCCTGGAACTCAAACCTTACTGGCATAGGCCAGTATCAGGCATTGCAAGCTAACAACGACCTCAACAACTCCCCATTACTAAGGGGACCTGTTCTTCCAGTTCAGTTAATTTTCATGTTCTGTAAGCCATAAAAAGACTTTATTGGGCGACTCTATAAAAGCCTGGAACTCAACGCAAATCCAGACATTTCAATTGAGAAAACTTCCTGGATGGGAAGCCCAACATCTTCAAACTAGGAAAACAAAGTCCAATGGTCTTAACCATGTATTATTAGTGACAATATTGTATTGGGTCAATATCTATGGTCAGTTCTCAAAGCTGCCATATGGGCATTTTATCGGAAATGAAAAAGTTGCATTGGGACACCCCTAGTTATTGCAACCACATACAGTCCCTGATTGGTTGATACAATTCTGACAGATTTTTTAACTCCAGTAAATATTGCTTTTCTCTTTTTTGCACAGGTAGAAATGCCTCCTTCGCATCGCTTATTTCCTGAACAAGCATTCACATAGGGATAATATGTAAATATCTCTTTATTCGTGTTTGGTCTGAACAAACATGAAGAATTATCTAAGAATAAGCTTTTAATATGGCAGACCCATATGTTTCAATTTCGTGAGAACAAAACAAAATTAAGGGATCAACATTTCCATGGTTTAGATCTTAATTAGGCAAGAGAGCTTAAACTAGGCTGGATGGCTATCTTTAAAAGCAAACATATCCTTTGGCGTACCACAAGGCTTTAATCTTGTCCCCGCATCTTTTGCTTTTGCTATTCCGCCTACATGTGAAATAACATATCAAAAACATTGCACCCAACTGCTGTGGGACTCTAAAATACCTAGCAACAACATGTGATATCAGGGCTACTTTGGGGGCACTTTCTATGTTTTAGAAGATATTAAGAGATGGATAGAACAAAAATGCCAGTTAGTAACTTGGTGGTAGTAGGTTCCCAATGGGAAATTACATTGGGACCAAATGGCACTAAATTGGTGACTTAGAAACGACACTGCCAAGGAACGCTATGGACAGTGGAAACATGCAAAAGGAGGAGAGTTTTGTGTCGGAGGTCGCGGATGAGTCTCCATTATACATTTTTTATTTAGAGGAGGAAAGTGGGGACAAAGTTGTTGTGGAAGAGGACGCAAGGGCAGCAGAAGCTTGGTTTGGTGTAAAAGGCTTACAGCCGTACATGTTTGACATGTCTGAGCACCTGCGTCGCAACGCTACCAGTACTGTTAGCTCTACGCCTGCTGAAGACACAGACGTCCATCCCCGTGAACACTGGAACTTAACTCAATGGGAAAGTAAATAATTCTTATTTCTCATTTCCACGGTTGCGTAAATTAGCTGCAAGATGCTATGACCGAAAAAATTTGAACGACAGATACCCGTTGATATATGAGTGGCTGAATTTAGGTGTACAGGCTGACCTATAACTAACTGGCCTGCATAAGATAAAGAAAAAAAAACCCCACAGAATTTAAGACAGGGTTTTTTTTTATATAGAATTTTTCTACATTTTGGGACAATATAGTCTGATAAAGAGTACATTTAAATACATGTTCAAGCGAGAATTATTTGATATTTAAATATACAACTTTAAATTGGACAACTTTAAAGTATAACTTTCAATCTCAAAATGATTTTAGCTATGAGTCTTTTTGAACTCTACAAATCTTCCTTCCTTGTTGCTCCCAGTTCCAAATGAGAAAAGGAACTCATGAATGACCATGCATTTATTAAACTGTATTGTTCTCTTAATTCAAATCAGGCCTTGATAGTGCCAGCTTCTATATAGAGACTATGTGGTGTATACTTCTGTATAGTTCTGATCAAATATAGTGAGCACAGGGGCTTGTTAAACTATTTTAAATGTACTTTCTATCTACATACATGAAAATATAATAATCTAAATCATAATATTTATTGATGCTTAAAGTCTAATAGGTGGGTTATTACATAAAATTGACGCAAGTGTTTACAACACATATAAACTTAAGCTATTTTAGCAAGCTGGCTAGGTGTACTAAGTATTTTAAATCACTTATTTTAATAAATAGACAACACGTGTAGGGAGGTCTAAATATGCTTGTTTTAAAACTTAATTTGTCTTTAAAAACATTAGATAGCCTCTTTATAACAAAAAAAGAAAACATGCGGACATTTGTTTTAGCTGTTAGCCAGTTAGCACGAACCAGGCCAGAGCTCAATTTTGACCGAGAACTCTAAAATCAAGTGTTTTATACCCATCGCACAGAAAGCTTCACAAAAACCGTTGCAGAATTAGCTACCTGCGAGAATAAAAGAGCCCACGCAGGAGATGAAGCCTGACAGAAAGCTGTTGAATGGGAAGGTACCAACGAGGAGACAGTAGAGAAACTGCATCGCTCCGGTTAGCAGGATGTACAGCAGGTAAGCGTCCACCACTTTCAGCTTATTGGGCGTCGTGGTGGTGTACTCCTCCAAAAATCTGGAGATAACCGACACGACTGAGTTCGACATGATTCTTCTATTGTATTATTAAAAAAAGGCTGACGAAGGTATGCACAGCTTCTGGTCTTCACTTCTATCAGTGACGTGTCCTCACCAACCGGAAGAAGCCAGTGTGTTACATTGATAATATTCCGAGTAGCACAGATTGCCGATTGCCAGTTGTGTCTAACTAGTGCCTCAACGTAGTCGCCATATTGTGAGTGGCACGTCTGTTTAAAAACATCCGTTTCTCTGTTCCAACGCTTTACAAGTGATAATAAAATAAAAATGTAACTTAAATTATAATTAGACACAGCAAGACAACGTTTTACCTCCAATATTTCAAATACTAGGGGAAGACCTTCATATATTCAACACTGTTTACATTCCCAGACTATGGCTAAGGAAAACCATTTTTGCACTTATATAACCTTGAGTGATTAAATGACTGCTCTCAAAGTTTGTAGTCAGTTCTTATTCCAAAGAAAAAGAAGTGAATACATATTATCTCTTATCTGTACAACAACAGAACTCAAACAATGGCAATAATAATATCTATGAAGTAATAATAATATATTTAATTGTGTAATTATCATTAGTCTTGTGTATCATCATTTCATCAAACAACTTCACGCTGGCTTCAAAAGGGTTTGGCTAAAGCGAAACATAAAAAACTAAAAATACATTTAGTTACAGGAAGTGAAACTGAATGAAGGTGCATGCTGAATTATTTTAAGTAATCTGTATATTTAAATTTATTGTGACCACATTTTTTTCGTCATGGATATACTTGTTTATCTTAATTTACTGTCTCAGTTGCTGACATCGTGAGAATAAAAACAAAAACGTTTTTAGAAATCACAGAGCTTTGTTTCCGTAGCAAAGTTGCCACTCACAATATGTTAGACAACTTTACGTATCGGTCATGCGGGGGTGAGGAAGTCAAATTCCTACGTACTGTACGTAAACGTTACCCAACGTGAAGCACATAGATGCAAATAAAGGAAAGATGTTCAGCTACAATTTCATTGCACTTTATAGTTTTTTGGCTATTTATTTTTAAATGTTTTTGCGTTTTAGATAAGCGTATATATTTAACTCACTCATATAGAAACGACATTTTTATTAACTTAATTATATATAGATATCTTAGACTTTCGGTGGGAATGTGCAGTTTAAAACGATATAGTTTGTTTTTTCTTGTTTTTGTATTGTTTGTATATTCTCAATTTGTATCACCTTGTGGAATGTTGTTAAACATAAACAATGGCTAAAGTGTTTTAGTTCTGTGAACTCTCAAAGGTTTTCTCAACGATGCTAATAAACGGGGGACTCAAATTCTTTGCGGGCAACTACATCTTTCTAAGAAGCGATCTTTGCACGCGGTCACATTACGTAGGAATGGGTTGGTTACAAAACATACATAAGTTAAATAGATAGCAGACAGGGCTTAATGCAATTTCGGAGGAGTCGGTTGACATTTGTGTGTGACTTTGTTTGATTTGAATGTAACAGCCGATGGATCCAGCTCCAGCACCAGCTCCCATGCAGAACAACTGCGAGACAGAGTGAGTAACTTCCACACCTTTAACTAAACATCTCCGCTCTTTACATCACTCTACATTAGGTCAACTTGTGAAAACTGGACGTGTAGGTCCAGTTTTTATTGTCTATAAGGGGTGAAAAATAAATAATGATGTGTCAGGGAGGTAGAAACTGCTCCCTAGTCTGGATTTACAATCTTTACGTAGCTGTTTATGTATAGCCTAATGTAAATGTAACATTACATAATCTGAAAAATGATAACCTTTTATAATAATCTGGCTCCTTGTTTTTAATCTGAGGGAATATAAACGTTTAATCGAGAATCATATGGTGCCATTATTATAATACATATCCAGTAGCCTGTTTAGTTTGTTTTCTATTATTAATGGTGGTTAAGCAAACATGCTTAACAAAAGCACCTGCGTGAATAAAGGAGAGCAGAGGTTAGAGAATAATCTCCAGTGACTCAGAGAAACTGAGCTGCATTTTTATTGGTGGAACAGGTGATAGTTTTACCTTTGCCATTGATTTCTTCCTGCATTATCAGATGACATCATCCGGCATCCTTTATGTATTACCTTTACTTTTTACCCACTTTTCTATCATTACAACAAAAACCATAAAACTAATATAAATCTAAAGGTTAATGCAGATATATATGAGGTAAAGGTAATTGCTGACTCATTTATTTTTACAAGTTTTGTTCACCATCAGATAATTGGGCTCATGTCACTTCAGTTCAGCTTCATCACTCTTTGTTCTCCAGGTTGGAAAATACAAAAAACAGGTGAGATTCCAGGTGCATTGCTATGTTATAAAATACTAATAACCAGTAACAGACTATCAGATTTGCACTGTGCTTTTGGTGAAGCATGTATAACCTTAAAAAGTTTTAACTATGTTTTGTTTGTTTTATTGGAAAAATAACGCAGTGTAGTGAATAGTTATTTAGTGGAAATAATAGATTCATTAATTTATTTGAAAAAAGAAAAAAAAAATTCTCAAGCATGAAGTTTGGTCTGTTGTATTCTCTTATGTTTTCCTCCCAGACTGCTCTGTATTTATGCCTCATCCTATCAATTCTGAGAACTTTTCCTTGTTGAAGCTGGAGGAAAAATATCCCCACAGAATGATGTATCTACAACCATGCTTTACTGTAGGAATGGTGTGATTAGTGTGTTAGTTTTCTGCCACTTATGACCTCTTCCATAGAGGCACATTATCAGAACATCTTTTTGCATTATTTTCTGTGTCTCATACACATGTGTGGTCAAAAGTAAACAGCATTTTTCATAGTTTTTTCTCTTTTTGGAAGTCCTCTACAAAGGAGAGTTTTGTAGAGTGATTCAAATTATTTGGGCAGAATCTTTAAGCAAATCAGTGAATCTCTGCGGCGACTCCAGAATGTTTTGGTTTCTTCTCTCAATAATGCTCTGAATCAATGACCTGTGAGGAATCTCTGATATGTCCAAACCTAAGGATGTTGTTAAATAAGCATAATCTGCTTTAAAATTTTCCATGGACTTTCTGCTGTGGTCCTCTATCTTAATTATGCTGTTTGTCAGCGTTCTCTAAGCTTTAAGTCCTCCTTATAATGAAAGGCACTTCATGTTTACTGCAACAATTTTTTGCACTAGAATTTATTTTAATTTGTTATTATCAAACCAATAGAGGGATAAATACAAACACACACCTAAGTTTTCAGAGATTTTTATGGTTTGGAATTCATTAATCCTTCAATTTTTAACTTGACATTTTTTTATTTTTGTTAGTCTAAAGACAAATATTTCAATAAATCACATTAAAATGAACATAAAAAAGACCTAAGAAAAAGGATTTCTGTTAAACCATTTACCTTGTCATCAGGTTATGCGGTGTGTGCTTAAAGAAGGGGGGAAAAAAATCCATATTTTGATATTTCCTGCATGAGAGAAAAGCACTTCCACAAAATGTTCCAAGGACCCACTTCTCTGACCTTAAACGTATTAAATAAAGGCTATTCACAGCATGACTGCTTTCAAATGCAACACTTAGCTGTAGTATCTCTCTCTCTCTCTTCTCCGTTCTGTGTGTTTATAGATGCTTTTTTGTTACCTTGTGGGGACAGTGTAAGACCAACTTCCCCAAAATTTGCTTACAAGTCCTTGTGCAGACCAGTTGCCTGTTTCCCATGAGGGAAGGTCCAGTTTTGGGGTAGGGGTTTAACCTTAGGATTAAGGCGTAAGTTTAATTTTAGTTATCTTTAGGATTAGATTTTTATTGGTAACAGGTATGGTAAGGGTAAGGGTCTGATTTAGACCATAGAAATAAATGGAAGTCAGTCCAAATCCTCTGGAGGATAACAAGTGTGTTGTTGAGAGTGTTATGCAAACAATGGCATTGATTACACTTACTCTAACCCTGGACTTGAGCCAGAGGCATTGTTAGTAAGCATTCAGCATGTGCTGAATAGTTTCTGTACCATCTAAAATCATATTCTTTACATGCTTCTCTTTTCATTTTATTTTGATTAGGTCAGGTTCAATCTGGAGCTGGTGGCCCTCCTGGCGTCCGACCTCCATGTCCCTGTTGAAGACTACAGAGTCTAAAATTCTTGCCTGTAAGGCTGTGTTCACAGACAGTATGCAGGTTGATTACGTAACCACTGAGCATTCGTTAGAAAACCTGTCTCACTGTTTCATTGCTCCACTCAACAGGTATTAAGAATGATTTATGGGCAAGGTTTGTGACCCTCCAGAACCAGGACCGAATATGGACTCTGTCTCTTACCAACAAGGGGACTCCCAAATCTGCAGAGCAAGGTATTGAGATCCTAAATAGTCCTTGCAGGAAGGAAATAGGCGTGAAAGCAAAATAAAAAAAAGCTTAAGACTTTACATTAAAAGTCAGCTCTCAGAAGATTGATGTTTTCCTCATCCTGTTTTTCCCCAGCACCTAAGACTCCCCTGGTAATGGTTCATGGCTTTGGAGGAGGGGTTGGACTGTGGATCAGGAACCTAGATGCACTGAGCCGCTCACGGACAGTCTACGCCTTCGACCTTTTGGGCTTTGGTAGGAGTTCGAGGCCTCCATTCCCCTCAGATCCTGCCAAGGCAGAGGAGCAGTTTGTCGACTCTATTGAACAGTGGAGGCAGGCTGTTGGTCTGGAGAGCATGATTCTATTAGGGCACAGCCTGGGGGGCTATCTGGCTACCTCGTACGCAATTCAACATCCTTCCAGGTAATTATTCATGGCTCTCTTTTTACTGAGAATAAGTTCACAGAAAAATTTGAAAATAAAAATGTAATTAAAATATGTATATAGGAAAATAACAGACAAAATCCCTGCTTTCTACATTAATTAGGACCCCTGCTGTGTCAATTTGACAGTCCAATAACATACACGTCACTGCAGCATCTTTGATCAGTCCTCTGAGATACTCATGAACGAAGGTTAATTTTATGCCCATCGAACCATTGCTCAGTTGAGTTAAAGTCCTAGTAAACTCCACATGTTGTCATTTGTGATAATAAGACAAAGAATAGTGTCTAATGGTTGCTATGGAAACTTGCAGACTCCTAAGTTTCCACTCTGTACTGCGGTTTTCCAGTAGTTAGCTCTAAAAAGGATTTACCCCTCTTACCACACTGAATGCTTACTCTGCATTCTTCAGCCTGCAGTCCCACCTTTCATTGTTAAACCACCACTGTGAAGTAGGTTTACTGGCTAGCAGCTGCTTTCCATAAACAAATCACACAAGCACAATTTGCATAGCCCGATGCTAAGACTATTAAACAAGGTTTCTCTAAATGAAACTGATAATGTATCTTTTTATGTTCACTATTGCCTTAAAAATATTTACCCACCCAATAACATCTGTCTAATTTAATAGAGTTATCTTTACTGTTACAGCCTGCTGCAAATGTATTTAGAGCAACACAAAGTTTCTGAACAATCTTTTCAGATTTTAAAAATCAGCTCATGTTGAACATTTCTTTGATTTCTGTAACAAAATAATTAAAAAAAAAATTCCCTTTTATTTTTGTCACCATCTGGTGGTTATTCCATGTACTGCATTAAATACTACTACCCTTTTCTACATATAAACTGCTTGTTCCAAATAAATGTCATTATTTTAATCTCTTTACAGAGTTTCTCACCTTATCTTGGTGGACCCCTGGGGCTTCCCAGAGCGACCCAAACCAGAGAGCCAGCAGAGTCAGGATCAAGGTTCTGAGGTGGTAAAGAGGCCCGGCCCTCCCCGATGGGCAAAAGCCATAATTTCGATTTTTAGCTTGTTTAACCCTCTGGCTGTTATCAGAGCTGCAGGCCCATGGGGTAAGTATTTAGTATTTGTAGTAGTTAAAATGTTGCACCATCATCTCACCATTTTGGTTTCCTCATTCAGGTCCAGGATTGGTGAACAGATTCCGCCCTGATTTTAAAAGAAAATTTGAGGACCTTTTTGATGATGACACAATGACACAGTATATTTACCACTGTAATGCACAGACTCCAAGGTACGGTCAAATAAGGTCCTAAAATCTAATTTATTCCTGGGAAAAATTACAATGTCTCCCTTTCTTGTTGTTGTCTCTCACTCTCCCAGTGGGGAGGTTGGTTTCCGGGCCATGTCAGAAACACTGGGTTGGGCAAAGAGGCCCATGCTGCAGCGAGTAAATCTGCTGTCCCCTTCCATGCCTGTCACCATGCTGTACGGGGCTCGGTCTTGGGTGGACAGCTCATCTGGGGACAGAGCAGCCGAGATTAGGTGCAAGGCCTACACCAAAGTACTGGTGAGTGGACAGATGGCAAGCAACAGGCCTATTCAGTATATACTAGTATTAGGCCTGTAATTTTTCATATCCCTTTAATTTGTACAACTACATCATCAATGTCTTCATCAGGATTTTATTTGATAAGCAAACAAGGGATGTCCCGATACAACTTTTTAATATACAATACTGATATTGAGCCAATAAGGCAGCAACACAAATCATACATGCTTTAATTACTCGTTTTGCAGACGGGAGTGTTAGAAAAGGCTTGATCAATTGGTATTACTTAAAAGGAGAACAATAGTCGACAGCATTAGGTCTTAGAACAATTATCCATTTACTTTTAACCAGTGGGTTACATTAACTTTAAACTGTAGAAGATAAAAGCATAGTTTTTCTCTCAGCTTACATATAGTGGAGATTTTAAATGCAGGCCAATCAAATCTGATGCTGTATTATGACTGGTATTCGACAAATTCTAAAAATTTATATTGGATAGGGATATCCCTAAAGGAAAGGAAAAAAGTTGTAGTTCATAATTTGGAAAGTCAAATAATGTGTGTTTGTTTAGGAAACCAATAGATCTGACATGATCATCATGTTATTTGTATTAATGTTAGAGTGGAGAGAAGAGAAAAAAGTAAGTTCTGGAAGATTGATACATGTCTTGGGACATATTAAACTTTTTTTTTTTGTGCCCTAATATGCAACTATAGGTGCCTTGGGAAACCAAGACTGAAAATTGCACTGGGCACCACATCACCAATATAAGCTGGGATAGTTACCATGGATCTATATATCGATCCGCCATTCAGTCTGACTTAGCTTAAACTATTCCGTTATGATGAACTGGCAATATTTTCTGTCCTTGGATTTACAAAGCTGATGCAAATACTGTATATTCCAACCAAACTAATGCTACATTTACAAAAAAAAAAATAATTTTTTTTTAAAGTGTGCACTCTGGGAGCTTAACACCAATGCATGTCACACTTTCAACATGCATGACTTAGACTTAAGAGCTATTTGCTGTTTTTTATTTGTCTATAACATAAAATCTTAGAAAAAAGTATATAGAAGTTTTAATTGCTATATGTTGAAATGGGAAAAGTCTAAACTAATGTTCCTGTGAAAGGCACCTTTCCACTTCAATCAAAAGCTAAAACTGTAAACTTAGATGTGATTTTAGTTAAATAAGTCTGTAACTAGCTGTTTTTCATGTCCTTTTTTTCCCAAACTGTTCCCTTTGCAGCTGATAGATAACGCCTCACACCATGTGTATGCTGATGAACCAGAAGTCTTCAACAAGGTGGTGGAAAACATATGTAAATCTGTGGACTGAAGGCGTGTTTTTGCATCTCCAAAGTACCTATGATTCTGCGCTGTATCTGCAGAAGCCATCATGGCGAATCCAGCCCTGCAGCCTCAGCATGTCAAACCGTCTAAATGATTTGAGGCTTTTGTAGATATATTATGTGTCTGAAAGTAAATCTGCTCTTTTTTTAAATTGTTGTGAATCTTTTTTTTTTTTTTTTTTTGCAGTTAATGGACAATGTTCGTAATTTGACAAATATGTATTTATTACATGATTTAATCGTTAATGTCATCCCACTGACAGTTAGCCAAATGTATTTGTCCAGCACTTAAAACTGTGGTAAGGTTGACTTTATGGGTAACACAAAGCGACATAGATTCATATCTTAAGATGCCTGTGTTTTATTTATTCCTGAGCTGCCAGATAAGCTTGTGATTCCCACTTTATTTTGTGCCTGGAAGGGTCATCTTCAGTTGCCTTCTAAGTCCCCTTTACTGTTTCATCTTATCACGGTCATATTTCATACCCTAAGAATGTTTCCCAACCACTTATCAGTCATGTACTACATTTCCCTACCAGTAGAGGTCAGTACTCATTTCTTTTGGGATCTGATAGATTTGTTTCTTCTTAGCAAAAGTAATAAAAATGAGCACCCTGTATTAGTCAGTTCATTGAAATATTTGTATATTTAATACTGTATTTGGCCTTAACTTTGATGAGATAATAGACTGAGTATTTGAGCAATAACATTTTGCAGGGAATCTAGCCGCTAGGGAAGAGTGGCAAGAAGGACGCCATTGACAAAATAGTAAAAGAGATCCTATTTATAGTTTGCAATAAACCATGTTGGGGACATTAATCACTGCACATCAACCCATAAACATGCAATTTCATATCGACAGCAGCAAGATGCTGCTACTGTAAAGACTTTTTTTCTGCGATGTATTTTAGGATCTTGAGGTTTACCTTTCAGGGTAAACTTACTTAGATGTTCAAACCTGTTTACAGTTGTTTTGAATGGACTTCACCTAAAGACATTGTGTACATTGGAATGGATGATTTCCTTTTTTTTTTTTTGACCTGTTTAAATCTGTACCTGGCTCATAAACTTCTACACTTTCCTGAACTGCTCAGACATGTTTTTGTATGTTACCATGGTGTTCAAAATTACAACCTTATATATTGTATCTATTATTACTATCTGTCTTCGGTTGATAGGGGGAATTGGTGTTTACCTCAAGGAAACTTTGGATAAGAGGTTGGGTTTAACTTTGATAGGTTACCAGTCACAAGGCTTCACAGAGAAACAGAAGACACACAACTATGCACACATGTACTCATACCAAAAGGATTAACAAAAGAAAGAAGAAAACATGCATGGAGAGAACGTGCAAAGTGCATAGAAAAGACCCCAATCAGGGGTTTGAACCCAGGACCTTCTTGCTGCATAGCAACCATAATTTATTCCTCATCAAAACTGATTTTTAAAGGTAATTTTAACATCTTCAGTTCCTGTTGATTTATGTTGCTTGAGTTGTTCAGTAATAGCAAAGTTAATATTAATTGTTCATTTGTCCATTTATTTAAAAAAGACATGTTTTTTTAGGACAGGTGTATATGAGCAGCTGTTCCAGTCCTGTCCTATTCTTACTTGACATCTCCCCCAGTGCTGCTGCATGATGCCCAACACTCTTTCAGAGTTAGTTTCGATCAGGTTCTCATTCGACACAAACTGTCACATGCGATATCCTTCCTCTGCACCCAAATACACCAGGGTTCGTTCAGCGCCTCATTGTGGATGCATTTTATGTTCACACTACCAGCTCTGCCATTTTAATGCCCATTGCAGGAAGAAAAAAAACAAAAGTTCAATTAGCTTGCTTGTCTGTCATTAATAATCACCATATCTTCATCAGATTTGATGCAGAGGTGTGAAGTAAGGTTGGAGGAAAATCTCATTACAAATTAACATAAGTTAAGATCAGTGTCTTTAAAATTGCAAAAAAGGACTTTCGCCAGTTGACAGCCTTCCTCTTCTGCACAACAAACTAAATGTTTTGTTTTTTGTTTCCTTTTTCAGTTAATGGTTAAACCAACAAAAGGTATTTGAAAACTGGCCCATTAGAGGCATTTAAATGCATGGTGTGAAATAAGAAATAATTAGGTTGTATTATTCACTAAGAGTCAGCCAAATTACCTTAAAGTAGGGCTGCAAAATGTAAAACAAAAATGTCTTGTTAAACAAATTACCATTATTTATTCTCAATTTCATCACTGATTCACTCAAGTTATTAAAACTGTAGTCAAGGACAGAAAAAAGAAACTACTATAAAAATCTGTTCATTTATTATGTCTCAGAAATATTAATTATACTTTCTCACTTAATCCTCCTCACAGCAGGAAAAAATGATCTATAGCCAGTCAGTCATTGATTTACCATAGAAACATCTTTAGTACATTACAGGGTGAGCACAGGTACATGCGACAATTCACATACACGAATACATTCTTAGCAAGGATGTGGGAAACCTACTAAAATTCTTAGTGTCCATGCCTGTTGTTTACATTTATCACTGCAGCTGGAACTTTTAACAGGCATGTGCACATTTTTTATGGGGGGTGGGCAGGTGTCTAAGCCAAAATAAAGCCCCACCCCCCATCAACAAAGTTATTCATCAAAAAACACAGTAGAATGTTGATGTGCTGGTGAAGATTCTCAGTCATCCAGGTCATAGTTATTCCATAAAACTTTATTTTAAAAAAACAATCCACTGGACTTTGTTTTCCAAGTTTAAAGACGTTTCACTTCCCATCCAGGAAGCTTTTTCAATTCAAAAATGCTGGATTAGCATTGAGTTCCAGGCTTTTATAGAGTAGCCCAATAAAGCCTTGTTATGGCCTAGAAAAAAATGCAAATTAACGGAACCGGAAGAACAGGTCCCCTTAGTAATGGGGATGCATTGACGTCTTGTTGGCCTGCAATACCTGATACTGGCCTATGCCTCTGAAAAGGGGAGTCATTAAGGGCGTTGTTGGCCTGGCTGACCAGGCGAGATGTCTTGGACCCCTGCATGGCGATGAGGATTGAGTTGATAGCAGGAAGGAATCAACTCTATTGCTGCGTTGTAGGTTTTTGAGAGCTGGAACCTGAGACCACCCTTTCTGTCTTTCAAACCACATGTCTTCTTTGTCCAAAATGTGAACAGTCTGGTACTCAAAAGAATTTCCTTTGTCCATGAGGTGTAGATGGACAGCCGAGACTTATCCACAAAAAGCTTTGTGGATGGGAAGCAAAACGTCTTCAAACTTGGAAAACAAATTCCAGTGGTTTCTTTTTACCTTTTTGTAAAATAGAATGCTGATGCTTTTGTAGCCTCCCTATCAGTTGCTTAATTTGTAAAACTACATTGTTTTATGGTTTATATACAAATTAAAGGAATTAATGGAGCTTAACTGAAAAAAACTTTAATTTGAAATCATAAACCCACTTTAGTTAGTTCATGTAAGTGCATTTGATGCTAATAAAGTCCGACTAAGTAACAGTTTCCTACTAGTGTTTATTTTATTGATACTGCTAACATAGATCATGTTTTTATTTCTACATTTATTAATTATAATGTTAATAAACAGCGAAACTTTTTCTAGGCGACAGTAAATGAATGCATGAAAAATATGTCTTCACTGAAGGTGATTTTTCACAGAAAGTGTTTTAGCCAGGATCCTATAATTAAATATTGCATGTTATATTTTCGGGCTGCATAGTGTAGAAGGCAGCACTGTTGCCATGCAGCAAGAAGGTTCCGGGTTCGATTCCTGACCAGGGGTCTTTCTGCATGGAGTTTGCATATGCTGTGCATGCATGGGTTCCCTCCGAGTACTCTGGTTTCCTCCCACAGTCCATAAACATGACTGTTAGGCTAATTGTCTTCTCTCATTTGTGTGAATGGTTGTTTGTGTTTCTGTTGCCCTGCAACAGACTGGCGACCTATCCAGGGTGTACCCTGCCTCTCGCCTATAGAGTACTGGAGATAGGCACTGGCTCCATCGCAACTCTGACCAGGACTAAGCGGGAGTAAATGGATGGATGGATGGATGGATGGATGTTATATTTTCCAGACTTTGTTTAAAGTATTACTGAAAATTCTGATGATGATATAATGTTAAGTATTGCTTATTTTTACGCGCCTGCCTGTTTCATAGAAGTTATGCAGATGCTGCAGTTTGGCCTGTGAAGCAGGAGATTGGGTGCTTAAGCACCACTCGGCTCCATCTGTCTGAACTTCAATGTATCTTATTATAGTTCTGCCAACTTTAAGTAGGGTATAAGTAAAAACATAAGTGATACATTATTTCTTGAAGTGTAGTTTTCATTTGTAACCTGCCTCCTTAAGTTGAGACTGAAAAACTGCCTCTTTACATCCATCTTCCATCCACCCTGTATCATGTTCTTTTGCTTCTTGACCCACTTGCAGAATCAAACCCAGAACTTGAAGCAAACAAGCTTATGTGCATCTTGCAGCAAGAACACTTTGGAAAAATTCACTTTAGTGACATCTGGATAGAGAGGATGCACACCCTGGATCCTGGTGGTAATCAGAAGATTGCTTTTAGTGAGAAGTTGCATCTCAGCTGGGTTCTGATTGTAGCAGAGCAGGTGGAAGATCTGAGCACAGTAACTGTTTGGGGCGCAGAAAATCTCCATTAGATATGATTTGGCTAGAGCCGACCATGAGCATTGAAATTCAGATGAGGGGTGGTCTCTCAGCAGGACCTGGAATCTTTAGCTTTCCGATGACCAAAATGCAGACAGGTGTGTGATTTACACTTTTTTATTTATCTATTTATCAGAGTAAACACTGCTGGTTACAAATGCAAGCTACATGTTATATTTGTTAAACATTTTTAATGTTTTATTGTCCACTTTGCAGCAAACAAGGCAAAATCATGAGGTCAGATGTGGTCTGCAGGGTCTGCAAGGTCCACCTCTACTGTATGTGATATGTTACCTGCTGTAAATTAAGTTAAAAAAAAAAGGTTAATAAGTTAAGTTAAAAACCATCAATTAAATAATGCAGTTAAAAAGATCTTTTAAAAACGTATTAATCTAAGTTTAAAATGAAATAGCTACCTGCATCAGCATTAATGTTCTGACAGTTATTCTGTAACAAATATGTTACTTTCTGTAAGTGTTTTTCACGAATTTCTTAAAGATTT